ATAATTACAAGAATCTAGATTTGAGTATCGTGTCGTAAGAAAAAAAATGAATCGGAAAAAAAGATTTCTTTTTTTATTGAATTGAACGTGTTCATTCATTTTGACTACTTTAGCATATTTTCTCATAGAAATTTCTACTCTACCTTCCCGGAGTTCATTCTCCGGGGAACTCCATTTAAATTATTCTGGTGGATTCTTTCCAATCTACTTCCTTTATGATTTCGTTCGAAATCATATAAAGACAATTCCTATTTGATATAGCTATTTGTGCAAGTATTTTACGGTTAAGAAGCAACTGTCTCTTGTACAGATCGTGTATTAATCTACTATAACTATAGGATACTCCCCTTTCGCGAATTACTGCGTTTATCCGAGTGATCCACAAACGACGAAAATCTCTCTTTTTCCTATCCCTATCCCGATGAGCCGAAACTAAAGCTCTTATTTTCTGTTGAGTAATAGTTCGAGTAAGCCTTGAATGAGCCCCCCGAAAGCTTGATGCAAATAAACGAATTTTTGTTCTACGTCTCCGAGCTATATATCCCCGTTTAATTCTGGTCATTGAATAAATGAAACTTTGACGAATAACTAATCGATTGCCTTTCTTTCAGTTATTCTTTTCCCCCTTCCTAGTCTATTAATAACAAAACGGATTTTTCCAATGTATAAAATAAAAATTCCAATGGCTTTGGCTACTCTAACCTTCCCGACCACGATTTTTTCTTTTTTTTTTTTTTAGGTATTTCACTGCGAAATAAGAAAGAAATAAAAAATTGTATTTTCCTAGGTATCAAAAATCTAGTAAATAAAAGAAATCAAAAAATAAATAGTGGGTTCCTTCGTTTCTATGGTTACTTCTTAAACGGTGAGGTCTTCTCTATACACCGGAGCCTTTACTTTATACTTTAATTTAATATTTAATCAACTAATTGATGTTATTGGGAACTTGTATAGTTCACACTCTTTGGCTCTACCCATGAATTATCCAGTAATAGGTCTTTCACAATCAGATCTACCTATACAGTAACGGTATTTAATTATGAAAGTTTGCTGGGTAGCTGACCCTCTTAGTCCGTTCTTGCCAGAGTGGGAGCCTGCCTAATCTTTATGTTTTATGCTTTTTAAATAAGATTTCCTCCGCTTAATGGATAACCATTTGTTACCNGTGGACAATGCTTCTTCAAATGATGTCACTGTCAAAGAATTGTCTAAACAGTTAGATATGTGGAAAACTAAATATGATGAGTGGTAAACATCTTCATGTGAGATGCATGTCTCATATACTAAATCTAATTGTGCAAGATGGTTTGAAAGAACTTGATGCTTCTGTGACACGTGTTAGAAATATTGTGAGGTTTGTGAGATCTTCGCCTGCAAGGACATTAAAGTTTAAACAGTGTTGTGCACATGTAAAGGTAGAATGTACCAAAATGTTGTGTTTGAATGTTCCTACCAGGTGGAATTCCACCTATTTGATGTTGGATACAGCACAACACTTTGAAAAAGCCTTTGACAAGTTGCATCTTTTTTATGATGGATTTTCTTCATATCAATGTTCTCATCTTTGTGAAGATGGTGGTAATGCAGGTCCTCTTGAATCTGATGATTGGGTGAATGTGAGGAATGTGATAGAGTTTCTTGCAAGATTTCACGAGCTAACTAAAAAAGTTTCAGGTTCACGTTATGTCACTTGTAATTCTCATTTTGAGGATGTATCTGAACTTTATTGTCATTTGAAAATGTGTTTAGCTAGTGAGGATGAGCATTTGAGAAAAATGGCTCAGCAAATGCAAGAAAAGTTCAAGAAGTATTGGGGTGAGCCTGAAAAGATGAATAAAATGATTTTTATTGCTTCCGTCTTGGATCCACGTAACAAATTTGAATATGTTGAGGGAGAACTTGAAGAACTTTTTGGGGAGGAAAAAGGGAAGAAAATAAATGCTGAGGTGTATGCTTATATGAATTCTTTGTTTGGAGAGTATCTAAAAAAGTATACAACCGAATCTTGTCCTCAACAGGAAGATTGAGGCCGTATCTAGTGTGGCGTCGGAATGCGCGTTTAGCACTGGTGGCCGTATTCTTGATTCATTTAGGAGTTCATTGACTCCTAAATGTGTGCAAGCTCTTATTTGTGTTCAAGATTGGCTTAGAGAAGAGAAGAATCCTATTAGTATTGAAGAAGACTTGAAGTATCTTGAGGAACTCGAGCTTGGTAAGCTTTAATATTTTGTGTGTATTTTAATTCAAAATAATATATCATGCTTTTTCATTTGTATGACATATTTGGTCATATTATCTTTAGATATGGAAAATAATGGAAGCACTACTAGCATTGTTTGATGTATAGTTGGAACTTACATCTTGAGTGGTAAGTTTAATACTCTATTTGTTTGGTGATAATGATATACTTAATAGTTTGTAGTTTTGTTTTATTATCATCAAACTATAATATTCTAACTTATGATTTATATTTTTTTTAGGTTCAAGTGCAATCATGCCCGTTGCTACTACTCAACGCTCCGATATTTGGGAATACTTTGTGGTGAAAGAAGATAACAGAGAAGTTCGCAAAGTAGAGTGCAAACATTGCCCTCTCTATTTTTGTTGCACTATGTTTAACTGTTTAAGACTTTAAGTGTTAAGACTGTTAAGACTTAAGACTATTGCAGTTGTAGACTTGCAGTTGCAGTTGGCCAGTTCAGTTGCACTATGTTTAAGTGTTAAGACTGTTTTTGTTGGACTGTGTTTTTATTGCACTGTGTTTAAGTGTTAAGACTGTTTTTGTTGGACTGTGTTTTTATTGCACTGTGTTTAAGTGTTAAGTTTTAAGTTAATTGCCAGATCTGGCGTGCAACTGCAGATTGCCAGATTGTGAAGTTGTTGTCTGGAGCAGAATAATATGGCATGCTGCGTGCAACTGCAGAATTGCCAGAATATAATATGTTATTCTTGTTTCAGGCTTTCAGCCATGAGCCATGTGCACATTGTGCAGTTGTGCAAACACTTTAGCATTGATTATTCATTGATTGTTAGCATTGATTATTTGATTATTCATTGATTCCTGCAGTTGTGCAAACACTTTAGATCGTGCAAACACGGCAGTTGTGCAAACACTTTAGAATTTAGATTGTGCAAACACAGCAGTTGTGATTCCTCTTCCAATTGTGCATGTGCAGTTGTGCACTGTTAGGTTAGGCGTTAGCAATTTAGCATTGATTATTCATTGATTGTTAAACTGAAACCGTACCGAACCAAAATAATAAATACCGAACCGTACCGAAATATTTTGGTATGGTATTTGGTATACACAATTGATAAACCGAATACCGAAATTCTTACATACCGAACCGAAATACCGAACGTCCACCCTTAGTTGCGCCAATATATTGATTTCATTAGTACGACTAAGGGTCTTTGGTTGGAAAACAAGTTATCACATGATTAATTATCTTAGGATTAATTATTTCGAGATTAGTTATTACATCCTCTCATAGAGATAAAAAATACTATAATCCTGGGATAACTAATCCCGGGATTAGTAATATTGCAATTTTATTCCAACCAAATATTGTATAAACTCATCTCAAATTTAATCAAGAAATTAATTATTCATCATTCCCTCGTACCAAACGAGCCCTAACAAAACTTTATTAGCCGAAAGCCTCGAAGAAATCTTGATGTCACCTTTCATACTAAAAAGTCATCTTATTGTTGCAGAAAAATAGCTCAAAAATTTACTGATCAAAACCAATTAAAAGCTCTAATAGTGTAAATGGTACCCACAATTTGATTTTATGGAGCAACCATAAGATCGACACGTCAAACGCAAAAGGAATCCATAGAAGCAAAAGGGAAGAATTGATAAGACAGGAATATTATACAACTTTGAAACAGATGAAGTTAATCATAAACATTCAAAAGATTCGAGTGATGAAAATTCGAAATTCTAAGCTGATTTGGTTTTAGAAAATGTGTCTTTCTTTCTTGCATCACAATGACGCGAGGTAATTTCATCTCTAATGATGAAAATTAAGAGGCAAAGTCAATTTCATAATAATTAGGGTAACAGTTATCAAGAAAGGAAGGCTTTTTTTCTTTTGTATTTCTAGTAGTGTACCTGACTATGTACCCCATATTTTTAGGCTTTCCTTTTTCACGTGATTTCCTCCAAAGAAACAACTACAGTATGAAAGAAAAAAACAATAAAGGAGGGTAAATTCTCTCTCTGAAAAGTACTGAATAGATAAATAAATAAATAAATAAATTATAAGAGAGAGGAACGGGAAAGTTTTAGGGTGAAAAATCATGAAAATAGACCCACCCAATCATCACTAATATCTTCGTTGACACCAAGAAATGAATTTTCTAAGATGTTGAGTGAAGAAAAGAAAACAAAGTGTCACCTCTTTCTACATGTTTGTGTTGTATCTTTGCTCCTAATTCTTTCTATTTCTTTTCCTTAGTACCTCCGGGCAAATTTGTGTGAAGTGTACGTTTGACGGGATACTAATAAGTTTAAGAATAACAAAACACTTTGAAATTTGAGATTTGAAATATGTCATAAATATTTTTACATTAATTTATAAAATCACTCAGATAAGATTAGTAAAATTTAAAATCTAAAGTTAAATTATTTGTAAATGTAGAAACGTATTATTTGAAAAAGAGAGATGAATGTAGTTTTTCGTGATAAAGGAATTCAATTAAAATATAAAACATAAATATAAATTAAATATTCTAATCAATATAGTTTTTTCAAAGTAAATTATAAAATGTAGCTATTCCAAAGTAATAGCATTGTGTATTTAGTATTACTTATTGTTTACATGATAATATATGGGTCAAAATGTGCCTCAAAGAGATTTAATATGAAGAGGTATTACGAAAAGTAATTTGACCGAGGTCGACTAGTAAACAATTTTTATAGTCGGGCAATCAATGATGGCCGAGGTCAAATGTGAGGAGCAACAACAACGGCTAGTTTTGTAATAGGATCCCTAGGAGAATATTCCATTGAATATTCTCTGTACTTGTACTTTTAAGGTTGATTAGGGGTATGTCCTATATAAATAGATAAAGAGATAAGGTGAAAGACATGTAATATTCTCGAATAAGAACACTCTTTGAAAAACAGACTCTTTCTAGATAAAATACAAACATTGCCTTTCAAAGGGGATTCGATTGTTTATTATTCGACACTTTTCCACCAGCTCCGAGAAGGGTCCCAATATTCTAGTATTTGTTTATCATTCATCCTTGTCAGAAGGAGAAATCATCCACTTCATTTAATATTGGGTGAATCATTCTCCTTATTTACCGTAATGCTATTTATTACTTGATATTCCCCCATCATTAATCGTCTTGAAACATTGAATGCACACCGTATTTAATCTCCTCTCAACACTGTTCTTAGTTATTTGTGTCCACCGATTATAGAGCTGAGGTTATTATCATTAACTGAATTTAACCCCTCATTACATAAAATTAATTAGTTTAACCAAGGGTTTATACTTTTTTTATCAAACAATTTGGCGACATCTGTGAGGATTTTCTAGTTAAATTTTTAGTTTTTTTCTAGACCTATAACTGGCACAGTTCACAAAAAACCCTATTTCCTTGTACACACAACTAACATGGCAGGTAAGGGAGAAGATTGAATGAAGGCAGTGGACGATCTCACTACAAACCTCTTCAACACCATCTAAAGCCTAATGCCTCTCCTAGGCGAATTGGGTCGCTCGTTCCTCATGACAGTATCACAACATCCCGCAACAAAGGAGCTTCCACGTCCGTAATGGAAGAGACACCACTAGTAGTGAAGAAACTGCTTAAGGCTTGGCTGACAAACACGCTGACCAGCATCCTTGACAAGACCGCCCAGGGGGCAGTTAGAGAAAATACAAGGACTTGCATTACACTAGTAACAGCCGAGTAGCATGGCTATCTCCTTCCAATAACAGATATTACTCACAATGTTAATAATGCAGGTGACGACACCCTCATAGCCATTCTGAGGAAGATGGAAGAAATGAAAAATAAAAATAAAATGCTTCAGGACCAAATGAGAGAAAACTAAGAAAGAGTCGACAAAATACTGGGTGCCCCAAAACTCTTGCCAAAAAGAGATGTCGGTCGGTTTGTTGAACAACCCTAATGTAACGAAGCTCCCCCACATGCCATACCTAAGACTTTCAAGATTCTGCCTTATTTGAAGATATACGATGGCACGACCGACCCCGAAGATCATGTGACTCACTATGTTACAACGGTAAAAGGCAATGATCTCTCCAAAGAACAAGTATCCTCTATCTTATTGAAAAAGTTCAGTGAGACCCTCACCAGAGGAGCATTGACTTAGTACTCACCACTGCCCACGCTCTCCATCGAAACATTCGAAGAGATGGCTGACAAGTTTGTAACGGCCCATGTTGGGGCCAAAAAGGTGGAGGCAAGAGTTAACGATATATTTGCCATCAAACAATCGCCCGGAGAAGGATTAAGGGACTTCCTCGCTCGTTTAAACCGAGTACGTATGACCTTGCCAAATGTACCAGAGGGCATGACTGTAGCAGCTTTCCAAAACGGACTGAATAGGAACGGTTCGAGGGCGACCAGAAAATTGTTATGTCGGCTTATAAAGTATCCTCTAACCACTTGGGATGAAATACACAACGCCTACTGTACCGAGGTCCGTGTTGACGAAGACAACCTGAATGGGCCAACCCATCGGTTAACCTCCATACAAGCCGAGTCTAGGAAGGATCGAGGAAATGATGCTAGGACGGATCTAGAAGCTCCATGACCCAATCAAGAAAGGCATCAGCCATATATCAGAAGCGCCATCATGCCCCCTCCTGCCACGAAGAAGGCTCATCTAGGCCAAGGACAAGGACTCAACGGAACGAGAGAGGTATGCCCCCTTTATTATCCACTCATAATTTTTGTGTGTCACCTTCAAAAATAGTCTACACATTAGAGAAGCTCGGACCAAAGGTGAAGTGGCCGCAAAAGATGAGGTCGGACCCAAGCACCAGAAAGTCAAATGCCCTCTGCGAGTACCACCAAGAGCGAGGTCATAAAACTGAGGATTGCATCACTCTAAGGCAGGAAGTCGTAAACATGCTTCACCAAGGGCACTTGAAAGAATTGCTGAGCGACCAACGCAGGACCAACTTTCCCCGAGTACGTGAACAACACCAAGGACCGTCGAAACTGCCTTTACCAACCTGCACCATTCAAATGATCATAGGAGGCGGCGATGATGCATCGATCAACAACGTCAATTTCACCACAACCCACAAACTCAAGCAATCGATCACTCATGAATGATATGACAAACTCGAAGAAAGTATCATCTTCTATAAGTCGGATACTCACGGTTTGGTTTTCCCTCACTATGACACCCTTGTTATCACTTTATGATTATTAGATACAAATGTAAGACGCACTATGGTGGAAGATGGGAGCGGTACGTGCATTATCCATCGTTGAGAACTTACA